TTCTGGTTTCCATACACATATGTAGACACACGCATATGCATTCACACACACACACACAGAGAGAGAGAGAGAGAGAGAGAGAGAGAGAGAGAGAGAGAGAGAGAGAGAGAGAGAGAGGAAAACTTGCAAGCATACAAATAAATGTAAAAAAAATCATATAGAATAAGTAAAAAGGAAGTGGGCTGGGGCCTGCTCTATTTCCTCTGGAATTCTGTTCAGGGTGGAAGAACAGTTTTCAGTAGCTCGCTCTTACTTCTTTTATTCTTAATTAAAAAAAAAAAAGACCTACTATTTGTTTTTGGTTTTTTCAGTTCAGGACTTCTCTGCGCAGCCCTGTGGCTGTCCTGGAACTCACTCTGTAGATTAGGCTGACCTTGAACTCAGAGGTCTGCCTGCCTCTGTGTCCTGAGTGCTGGGATTAAAGGCGTGAGCACCACTGCCCCAGCAAGACCTGTTTCTATGTATGCATGTGTGTCAATGTGTGTAGGGAGTTATACATGAGTGCAGTTCCTGCGAAGTCCAGAAGAGGGCGTAGGATCCTCTGGAACTAGAGTTACAGGCTCCTCTAAAGGAGTAGGGCACACTCCTAACCCTGGCACCATCTCTCCAGCCCCTGTGCTTACATCTTCATCCTCCTGCCTCAGCTCTCAGGGTCTTTGTCTAGCTGCCTCATCCTGAAAGCACACTTCTTTGTGTCCTGGTTCCCTTCTGCATCGCCACCCTAGGAACAAGGCCTGCTTCCCAGTTCCAGGTACCAAGCAAGGACATCAGCACGTGCAAGAGAGATGACTGGGCATCTCGAGGTTAGCTGCCATGTTTGTGTCCTCTTAGTGCTTTGCTTGGGGCATTTTAAACATGCTACCTGGAATATTTTGCTATTGAGCAGTTCTAGCCGCTATAACATAACTTAGTTGCCTTTTTATTGTTGGACATTTATTTCCATTGTTTAGCTCTTATATGTCACATTGCCATAAGAGTTTGTGAATTTTAGAAGTTCACTTTAACAAGAATCTTGAAGATGGAATTTTATACAATTATATCTTAGCACCAGTGGTGAAAGCATCTGCCTGCTTGACCGTTCATTACTCACGGCTCCTTTCCCACCCACTCTTACGTTGCTTTTCAATACAAGTCATCTTGCCTGTTAGGGACTCCTTCCCCAATGACTGCTCATGCTCTGGGGGTGCCATGTTTCCAGAGAGTTCGGAACCGTAACAGCTGGAACCACACACTGGACAGACTGACACACAGGGTTTTCTCTTCATTGGCTTCCACTCAACTTCAGCCTTGCTGGTGAAATTCCAGGGCGCCCCCCCCAACTTATTAACAGTAGTGAAATATAAGTCATTTTTGCTAGTTTGAGGGACATGCTTAACATTTTCATCATCCAGGAAGCTAAGAACCACCATGTCAAAAGCAGCCAAAGGCCTTCATAGGACTAAGAGAGAGCAGGAAGCAAGGTCATGTGGATGTAGGGTCTCACAGAGTGTAGACTGCAAGGATGCTTTATGGGATTTTCATATGAGTTCTCCATTTTAAAGTCACTTTTTCATCATAATAACCTCAGGGACCACAAACATCACCACCTAGACTGGGCCTTCAAGAGTGACAGTGTTGGGGAGTGACTTATGTTGCACAATACTATATATATATCATATATATGTCATACATATCATATATATGGAAGTAATTGTTTCACATACTTTAAAAAAAAAGTCAGCAACAATTTAAATTCCTGTGACTAGAGTGGTGATTTCAACATTAAGGGTCAGCTATGCAGGAGACTGTCCTGCCTCCATTGTGTTCTCATGTGGAAGGGGCTCTGGGATGTACTGTTAAATGATAAAAAAACAACATTCAGAAAGGTGTTCATAACACTCTAACCTTGTGTGGAAGAGAGGAATACATACATGTGTTTAGATCGTGGACTACTGTGTCTACAGGACCACAGAGGTCACTGAGGGCAAGACTCCTCAGGGATGGAAACAGAGGTTGGGACAAAAGTAGGGGAAAGGTTTTGGGTTTTTCTCTGTATAAACCTCTTAGATTTTGCATTGTATTACTCACTGGAAAGTAGGATTTATTTTTTGGTTCCTCTGAGTACTAAACATAGAATAACCACATGACTCAATGTTTCCATCCCTGAGTATGTACCGAGAAAGAACTGAAAATGGGTCAAACAGACATGATATGTCAATACCAACAACTGAACTTGGTTTTTGTTTTTTGAGGTGGGTCTTTCTCTATTGCTCAACTCACCTAGAACTCACTATATAGACCACTGCAGCCTGAAACTCCTAGACATGGGCCTTTCTCCGAGTTCTGGGATTAAAGACATATACCGCTGTGCCCTGCCTAATAATGCAGCTTTTTCCCCAACAGCCACAAGGCAAAGTCAGCCTGAATTCCCACCAGCAGATCCAAGTGTATGCATAACACAGGATACTGTCCGGTCACAAAGGGGAAGGAACTCCGACACATGCCATACTGTAGACGGACCTTGAGGGGACTATGCTAAGAAAAACAAGTTAGACCCAAAAGGACCCTTATGTGCAAAATCCAGACAGGCAATTCATAAAAACGGAAAGTAAGTCCCTAGAGATCACCAGGGACTCTGGGAAATTTCTATCTATGATGGTTTGAATAGGGAAAGTAGCCACATAAAATTATGAACACAATGATGAAGAATCATATACTTACAATGGCCAAAATGCCCAATTTTTCATTTTATATATTTACCATAATGAAAATTAAAGTTAAATATAATTAAGGAAAAAATACCAAGTACCTACAGCTTGACCTGTTCTCCACTGAAGCATTCTTCCGACCTTACCCCCACCCTCACTAGCTAACAGTACTCACTGAGAGCACGGGTCCTCTCCTGATGATGCCTAAAACAGAAAGCTATGTGGACATGCACCCTGTGTGTCGGAGCAGGTCAGCCCTCAGCCCAGGCCATGAGCATGTCACTATGGAGTGAGCCACAGAACCGATGGGTCAACCTCCTGGCCACAGTCTGTGGGAAAGAAGAGGCCAGTGTGACCCGCTTCTGACCGAGGCTTCAGGAAGCCTCATGGACCAAGGTGACCTAGCTGTGAAGTCCATCCTGGGCTAGGAGCTGAGGAGCCAAGTTTCATTAGCAGGGTTGGGGCGGGGTACAGTGGGCATCACTGGGGTGCTTGTGGAGGGTCTTGCTGGAATATGATTTTATCTTGAAAAGCAGTGGAGGCTAAATGGTGTGGTCCTTAAATATCCATTTTGCACACATCTGGACTTTTCAATGCTGCTGTGGGAAAACGGCTTAGGGCTTTCTGCTCTTTTCCCTCATCCTGTTTACCATTTAAAGACTGTGCCTTCTCTCCTAAACAAGCAGATAACTCAGGCTGTTCATATTTTCTCTCCAGCCCAAACTGTGTTTGCCATCTAGTGAGTAATCCTCGACATTACAGCAGCCTACTTCACATGCCTCATTTCTCAGCCCAGCCGCCAAGCTGACTCCACACTCTGGTCCCCTGACAGTCACTTCTGTCACACACCGCCATGAGCATGTGGACATTCAGGCACATTCAGCTCTGAGCCCTCCGAGTAGGGATATTCTCATGAGAAGGGGCACTTCTGCTGTTCATAAGAAGTTCTGACGATTAAGTGTTATAAAAGGTTTAAGCAGGACGGCACACGAGAATTAACCAGCAGTGAAAATGTACTCAAGCAAACTTTTTGCGTACTGTGAGGGATCCTCGCTCATTTCCAAGTTTTCTTTTCTCCCTGTGTGTTCTACAAACAATTCCAGAGGCCTCAGCTGTCTGGGACTCCCACAGTAAGAGCTGCCACATGAGCTCTCCAACCTGAGGCCAAGGAGAGCGGCACACACAGCATTTAAAGGGAAATGAAGCCTGCAGATACTGTGTTGTATGTGCTGGGGGTTGAAAATGAACCTGGTTGGGGCTGACTCAGTGGGTAAAGGAGCTTGCCACCAAGCCTGGTGACCTAAGTTCGGTCCCTGGAACCCATGTGAAGATGGAAGGAGAGGACCAACTGCATAGAGTTGGTCTCTCCATATGTTGGCTGTAGCATGTGTGTACCCACGCCCCATGTATGTGTGCCTGCGCCCCATGTATGTGTACCCATGCCCCATGTATGTGTGCCCACGCCCCATGTATGTGTGCCCACACCCCATGCACACAATAACAACAGTTCAATTTTTAAAATAAAGGGCCACTGAGGTGACCCAGCCAGTAAAGGCGCCTGCTGCCAAGACTGATATTCTGAGTTCGATCCCCGGGATTCACATGGTAGAGAGAACTGACTTTCATAAGTTGTTCTTTGACCTGTATGGACACACACACATGTTTAAAAAAATAAAATAAAAATAACACTAGTCACTCAGAATTCTTGAAGAATCCCTGGTAACATTCTGTGGCTAGATCCTTAGAATTCCTAAGTAATGATGACTATTGTGGAAAGCATCCTGAATCCCGTGTGCTTGCTCCTTAGACATGGGCCCTGGGAACCCAGTTATAAATGGAATGCCTCAGCTTGCCGAGCTGTGAACTGACTCCATATGGCTGTAACTTGTTTTATATGTGTCTATCTATCTATATTTACACATATGGGTATGTATATTTAAATAAAGTAGAATCTTACTTAAAATCACACACACACACATCGTTGTGATAACACCTTTTCCTAAACTTTGCTGTAAGCCACTTCTGACACCCTCTTCCATGAGATCCAGCAAGACTAACTTTAAACCACCTTCTGTCCTGCAAAGGACTACAATACAGAAAAGAAAGCAGACACAATTCCCACCTCACTGCCAACGAGTTTCTCGTTTCTCGTTCACATAACAGCAATAACCGGGATCCAAGGGCCGTCCAAGTTGAGCAGAGGAGGCTGTGTGAAAGCATTCACGTTGTCTGTAAAGCCCGTGACCTGCTTGACTGATGATGTCACTGTTGCTTGTGTGTGTGTGTGAATTTCTGTGCATGTGGCTTTTGCAGGGAAGGCCAGAGATACCGGGTGTACATTGTGATACCACTGCTGCCAGGATTCGAAGGAGACATTTCCACAGGAGGAGGGAATGCTCTACAGGCGATAATGCACTTCAACTACAGGTGCCCGATTCCAAGCCCTCTGCTTTGATCCTTGCATCATGCGTGGAAGCCTGGGAAGCGAGCTGCAGGGTTTCTGCACATTTGTTCAGCATTTTACTTTCAAACCTTAGTCTTTTCTAAGTGGTAACATTCAAATGTCACAGTCATACATGATGGTGCTCTCTTCTCTCCTCTCTCTCTCTCTCTCTCTCTCTCTCTCTCTCTCTCTCTCTCTCTCTCTCTCCTACTCTGTTATCTTGGATCTCATTTTGTAACCCTGGCTGCCTGGAACTTGTTATGTAGACCAGGCTGGCCTCGAACCTCAGAGATACCCATCTCTGCCCAACTAGTGTCGCCTTTATATTGATTTTTAATACATGATATTAATGAAAAAATATCTTTATACCACTGATCCCTTTATTCTTTTCTGTAAGTAGAGAAAAGTAAAACAAGAAGTATAAGTGCTTGAAAAAAAAGAAGTCTAAGTGCTAACATGATACAATTTGAGTGCATTCAGTTAGACAGCACGAAGATGACAACCGGGATATTTCCTTATGTTTCACACTTTTCTAGTCTTCCTTTTCGAGGTGGGAGGGGAGAATGAGACTTTACAATGGACCAAACAGAGAAGGGCTCAGTGCCTTCGTCACACTTGGGTGGAGGGTTATATGCCCCATGCTTGGCTTCGGAGACCCCAGCTGATGCTCATGACACGGTGTGAGGGCACTATTGGGTGGGATTGTGGTAGTGTTTGATATTAAGCCTCATATGGCCCAGGCTGGCTTTGAACTCCCCATAGCTGAGGATGACTCAATGTCTGATCTTCTTGCCTCTACCTCCCAAGTGCTGTGGATTATAAATGTGTGCCACTTGCCTGGTTTGCAGTTCTGGGGATGAACACAGGTCTTCATGCATGGGATTAAAGGCATGCACCACGATGCCCAACAGTTGGTTTCTTTTTTCCTCTGATTCTTCTGACTTGTGTCTGCATATCTGCCAGGGTTTGAAGTAAATACTGGTGCTAATGCTGTTATCCCAGGGGCCAGTTCACCTGGCTACAGTGACTACCTTTTTTCTACATACTGAGCTGAAGATGGGTCCATGTCTAATGTTATCTGACTTAGTACATAACCAAAAATGTTTTTGTGAGCATATGTCACTAACATGATGTTTAATTAATTGCTCTCTATCTGCTTTCTTGGCAATTCAAATATTACTTTTGGAATACTGTCAGTTTTGAGTATTTCCTATGACTATGTCTTTGATTTTTGAACCAGCTGAAAGACACATTTGGCTGTTGTTCAGCAACGCAAACCTTTTGTTATGCAAAAGCATCTCTATTTGCTAGTGTAGACTTTAATAATATCAGCCTTTCCAGGCATAGCTGTATTTTTAATTACATTCATACAACAGGCAGATGGAACATAGAATTTTTTAAAAAAATTTTATTATCATCCAGCTCAATTATCTTCTACTTTAATTTTTAAAGTTTTTATTAGCATATACTAATTATAAATGGCGAATTTTTATTATAACATTTTCTTACACACATACAATTTTAATCATATCCACTCCCTTTATTCTCTTTTGTCCCTTCTCACCTCCCCTCCCTCTTCCCAACTAGTCTCCCATCTGCTTTCCATCCTTCTCTCTCCTCCCCGGCTCTCATGAACCAGTGAGTTCCATCAGTGCTGTTTACAGGAGCACACATGAGAGGTGATTTGTGGAAGCGAGTCTTTCCAAGACTACACCACTGGAAAAAATGTCTCCCCCTGGAACTGTGGTAGCTCCTAGGGCAGAGGTGGCCTCACAAACCCTTGCTTTTCCATCATTTAGAGTCATCAGTATTTAACAGTCTTGAGGAACAAAAATCAACAGAGCCATTATTTAAAACTTGATTTTTCACATTGACAGATTTTTGCTTATTCTGATGGAAATAACCCTGTATAATAGTCTGCTTACTTCTTGATGCTCTGACGAACAAGGGTTTGCCCCTTTCACCCCTGAAAGCAGGATGGTTATGTAAACGCTCTTATCTTCGAAGAATCCTCAGTCTTATTTTTGCTATCACAAAATTTTCTAAGGGAAAGTTCATTCATAGCCCATCTCTCTTTCTGAAATCTGATATCAATTTTATAACTCTTCTATTGACTCACATCAAAATAATTATGTCTGTGCCGGGCGGTGGTGGCGCACGCCTTTAATCCCAGCACTCGGGAGGCAGAGCCAGGCGGATCTCTGTGAGTTCGAAGCCAGCCTGGGCTACCAAGTGAGTTCCAGGGAAGGCGCAAAGCTACACAGAGAAACCCTGTCTCGAAAAACCAAAAAAAAAAAAAAAAAAAAAAAATAATAATTATGTCTTTTCAGTAACATTACAAAAATATTTCCTATTGTGGTTTTTACCTTTTGAAAGTGGGTATAGCATTTTCTTATGAAAGTACTTGTTTTTGCTTGGGTTAGGGTTACATCCACAGGTGTTGCTGTAAGACTTGGTTGTTGGAACCTCCATAACTATGCCTTTACATGTTTTCAGAACCATGTGCAGAGGGGAGAACTCCATCCTTGGACAATTAAAGCCAGAGCGTAAGTAGTTTTTCTTTTCTTCTGTGATTGTTTCAAGGAAACATCAAGAGTTAATTGGACTGGATATGAAGATAAGGTGGCAGCATCTATTAATTATTTTCCTTGTTCCTTTGACCAATATGTGACAAAGCAGCTTATGGGAGGGAGGGGTCAATTCCAGCTTACGGTTTGAAGGTGCAGTCCGTCATGGTGGGGGAAGTCATGGTGGCAGATGCTGTGGAGGCTGGTCACATTGAATTCACAGTCAGGAAGTAGAACAGGATGAATGCTGGTGTACCCTTTGTCCTTTTTATTCAGTCTGGAACCCACTCATGGATGGTGCTGCTCACACTTGACCTTCCTTTAACTAACTTGATCTAGAAAACCCCTCACACACACGCACCCCAGATTGTAATCAAATTAACTGTCGTGGTATCCGTGAATGTCCATGTAGTGTGCTTATAGAACTTTGTTCACCCAAGCTTCTTCAGAAAATGCTCAACTTAGGTAAACCACATTTTCTCATTAAATTTCCCAAGCCAACGTTCAAATGAAAATACCTGTGTATGAGGTGCATGGGTGGTAAACAGTGGAAACATCTCTACAATTTGTATTATTTATTTTCATCATTTCAGTGATAACTGAGGAGTCTCATGAGGACTGTCTACTGTATTCTCAGCTTATCCACCACCATAGCCCCATATGGGTCATCCCTGTTGAGAATTATCTGTTTAAGTTTGTACCCCATTTTTAATTGAATTACTTGGGTTTTTGATAGCTATTTTCTTGAATTCTTTATATATTTTGGAGATTAGCCCTCTGTCAGATGCGGGGCTGGTGAAGATCTTTTCCCATTCTGTAGGCTGCCATTTTGTCCTATTGACAGTGTTCTTTGCCTTACAGAAGCTTCTCAGGAGGTCCCATTTATTGTCAGTCTTAGTGTCTGTGCTACTGGTGTTATATTCAGGAAGTGGTCTCCTGTGCCAATGTGTTCAAGGCTATCCCTTACTTTCTCTTCTATCAGGTTGAGAGTAACTGGATTTATGTTGAGGTCTTTGATCCACTTGAACTTGAGTTTTGTGCAGAGTGATAGATATGCATCTATTTGCATTCGTCTGCATGCTGACATCCAGTTATGCCAGCACCATTTGTTGAAGATGCTTTCTTTTCTCTATTGTATAGTTTTGACTTCTTTGTTAAAAATCAAGTGTCCATAGGTGTGTGGATTAATGTCTGGGTCTTCAATTCAATTCCATTGATCAATGTGTGTGTTTTTATGCCAATACCAAGCTGTTTTTATTACTATAGCTGTATAGTAGAGCTTGAGGTCAGGGATGGTGATGCCTCTAGAAGTTCTTTTATTGTACAGGGTTGTTTTAGCTATCCTGAGTTTTTTGTTTTTCCATATGAAGTTGAGTATTGTTCTTTCAAGGTCTGTAAAAAATTGTGTTGAATCTACAGATGGCTTCTGGTAAGATGTCCATTTTTGCTATGCTAATCCGAGTGATCCATGAGCTCATAGTACTTCCTTACAGCCTCTACCATAACCATTTTCCATAATGTTTGAGACGATTGTGGATAAAGAAGGGAAAAAACCAAGGTACCCCCTTTCCCTGCTGCAGTTCTTTCTAGAAGTACATTCTTAAATGGAGGAGAGAAAAAGAAAAAAGAGTGTGAGAAAAATGTTTGCTCATCATATATATAAGGGACTAGTATTCAACTGAAAGAAGCCAGGCACAATAGGCCATGTGCCGTACGGTTACATTTTTTATGAAATGTCTTTAATAGGCAAATCCATAGCAATAGAAAGTTCTATAGTGGCTGTTAAAGTCTGGGGAGAGTAGGTAGGATCAGATGCCAATTAGATGGGCATGGGAGTATAAAATATCTTAAAATTAAGTAGTGGTGATGGTTATACAGCCTTGTGAATATACTTTTTAAAAATCTACTGAATTGGACCTGGGGATGCAGCTCAGTTGGCACAGTGCTTGACTGGCTTGCATAAAGCCCTAGGTTCAATCCCAGCACCATATAAACCTGTAAAGTTGTGCACATCTGGAATCCAAGCATTCAGAAAATAGAGGTAAGAGGCTCAGAAGCTCAAGGTCATCCTTAGATATGCAGCATGTTCAAGGACAACTTGGGATACATAAAAGATGAATCCCAAAAACTCTGCCTAAAACAAAAACATCTGTGGGGTGCAGCAGTGCAAAACCTTTGATACCAGCACTTGGGAGGCACAGGGATCTCTGAGAGTTGGAAGCCTGGTCTACATAGTGAGACCTTGACTCGAATAAATAAACGAAACTATAAAATATACCTATTGAACTATATACTTTTTATTTGCACTTATTTAATAGATTTAATAGAGAGGCTTGCACATGCTAAGCAAGCACTCTGTACTGAATCCACATTCCCAGCCCTGTGTATACAATTATAATGGGAAAGCTTCATGCTATGGAGTTTTTGGAGACATTTATAGACTTTTATGACTTTTTAGGGGATTTGGTAGCTTTGAATGCCATGGGTTTAGCTGGATGTGGTAATTCACATCTTTAATTCCAGCACTCAGGAGGCAGGGGCCGGTCTCTATGAGTTCAAGGCCAGTTTGGTTTACATAGTAAGTTCCAGGACAGTCAGAGCTGCATAGTGAGACTCTGCCCCCCCAAAAAAAAAGATAGATAAAGAATAAATAGGCTTAAACTTGCCCACAGCAATGGTTCTCAACCTTCCTAATGCTGTGACCCTCATGTTGTGGTGACCCCCCAACCATAAAATGATTTTCATTGCTACTTCATAACTGTAATTTCACTATTATGAATTGTAATGTAAATATCTGATATGCAACCCCTAAAGGGGTCATGACCCACAGGTTGAGAACCACTGCCGTACAGGTATATTATGTATGCACACATGTCTATCAGTGTTGTGTATTTAGGAAGTTTCACTGATTGTCTGTTCAGACCTAGTTATGCACATCACTAACTGTACCCAGGAGAGAGCAGATGTCCCAGAGTATCACCTTCATCTCTATGGGTTGATGAATCAATCTATATAAAAGACATATTGATAAGACAGAGTAGGAAAGGCATCCCAAGCTGCCTGATGGGGGCTTGGAAGGTGAACATGAGATTATGGGAGAGTAAGGAATCAAAGCACGTTATTCTTTCGTCTCTCAACTGTGAAAATGTCCCGAGCTTAATAGAAAGCTCTTTCTTTGGCTCCAGACCCTTTTTTCGCCTTTGCATTCAGGGAAAATAAATTGGATTTTAACACAAGAAACAATTTCAATGGCAAGCCTGCTTGGGGGAAAGTTTCTAAGCACCCTGGGAACAAGTCAACATAGGGCCTCTTGGTGGGGGATGTCCACATTCTGAACACGGGGAGAAAAGACTAATTACACAGGGCCCTTTTCTGATGCAGAGGGTCATGTTGTTGGTTTGGTTTGTTAGTGCTGGTGGGTTTTAAAGCCCCAGCAGCCTCCTCTCTGATTGGGTGGCAGACTGCAGTGCCCAGAGGTTGGCGCTCCAGTCAATTTGAATAACAAAACTGCAACTGTGACGAAGTTAAATGTCCTGAAAAAGAATTCAGGCCCCAGCCAGTCTCGGAGCCTGTAATCTCCAGAGAACTGATGTCCAGTTTAAAGCATTTCCTTACCATTTTTTATAATTTTTGTGAATTATAACCTTTTAGGACCAAGTAAATTAGTGGCCAGGAGTATTCAAATGGCATTATAAATACACAGATACCCGAAACTCCAATTTTAAGTAATAAGCCTTAGGTGATAATTCTTGGTGTTTTTTTTTTTTTTTTTTTTTAATCAAAATGGCCTTGTGAACTTCCAGCACACATTGGAGCCCACCTTCCTTCTGGTACCCAGACAACAGTGTCAGTCATAGTTAGTTCTGGAATGTTGTCTGCAGAGTCCCATACCCCATCACCTGGGAATCACCCCAGGACTTGTCTCCCGCTTTCACAGTGGTGTTTATCCGTGTTGCTGGAGTTTTCCTCTTTTGTAACTTGGTAGCACTGCGTTAGCACCACTGACTTTGTGTTCGTTTCATGTGAAGTCAGTTTTCTTCACAGAATAAAATGCCTGTTCTCAATTTTCCTTGTCTCCCTTCACTAGGAAGCACGTGAGGAGGGCGGTGGAATTCATTACTGTCATAGATACACCAGTTGTAGCTGGCAGGCCCCCGGAGACTGTCCGTGGCGGCTCCCTGCTAGCCAGGACCTTCTCTTATTGTCTCTCTTCCCTACCCGCTTCCTTCCGTTTTTCTTCTTTTTCTTTTTCCTTCCTTCCTTCCTTCCTTCCTTCCTTCCTTCCTTCCTTCCTTCCTTCCTTTCTTCCTTCCTTCCTTCCTCCCTCCCTCCCTCCCTCCCTCCCTTCCTTCCTTCCTTCCTTCCTTTCTTTCCTTCCTTCCTTCTCCCTTTTCCTCCTCCTTCCTCCCCCTCTTCCTTGAGAATCTGCACTGTTAGTTTTCCCCTCAGGGCCCTTTTTCACTTTCTGAGCCTCACTGAGTGAGGCAGAGTAGGAGGTGGTATGCTCTGTGGGCAGAGTGTCCCTGATGACACATGCTTGGCTGATTGACAGGCCAGCTGTGGAAAGGCTGGGCATCCCTGATCAACAAGTGTTTGGCTGATAGGCCAACAGTGCAAACGTGGCCTTCAGACACATCTTAAAGTCCAGGCTGCTGGCCACTAGTCAATATAACTGATCTTTTAAAAATGATTTTTAATGCTTTCAGATTCTTCATATACTTTATTCATTTAATTATTACTGGTGGAAGACACATGCCACGTCTCCCGTGTGGAGGTCAGGGAACAGCTTTCAGGAGTCAGTTCTCTCTCCCCACCTTTCCATGGGTTCCAGGGATCAAACTCAGGTTTGTGAGGCAGAAGCCTTTATCCACCAAGACGTCACTCGGAACCCTAATTCCAGCCTTATAGGACAGTTTCTGGGGCTCGATCTGTCCTTTCATCCTGTGTGTCTATCTGCTGACATTTTATCTCCCATCCCCTTCCCTTCTCCTCCACTGCCCTCCCCCTCTCTCCCCTTCCCTTCCCCCTGTAACTTCCCTGGGGCCTTAAACGCCTCCACTGAACCCCACATGCAGCGCTGTAACCCGCCTTTAGCAAGTCCTGCGAGATGGGCGAGGACCTATGTCTTAAAATGTTATTCTCGGGATCACACGCCCGCCCTAGATGATATGGAGAAATCGGAAGTTCAGGCTCTGTGACCGTAAGTAACGGTGATGCCAGGCTGTGCAGCACAGTGCTGGCGCTGGAGAAATGTACTCCACAGTGTCTAAAAACCAGGCATTTGTAGAAGTATTTTCCAGAACTGTGTGGACACAAAGGACTTCAGGGAGGACATACTCCCTTCTTTTTAATCAGAGGAGATTTTTTTGTTTGGTTTTTTGAGACAGGGTTTCTCTGTGTCACCCTGGCGGTCCCGGAACTTACAAATCCCCCTACCTCTGCTTTTGAGTGTTGTGGTTAAAGACCTGTGGCACCATTGCCTGGTCAGAGGAGGTTTTCTAAAGGAAGTAGTGGTCCATGTCCAGCCTCTTGATATTTCCGTCTACAAAATTCATGCTCAAGAAGTATGGAATTAAGTTACAAAAAATTGTGTCTCTGTCCCCCCCGCCAAATCAATGTTTTAAGTATGTTTGTGATTTGTGTTGGGCCTTGTTCATACTGTCCTAGGGCTCATGAAACCCGCTGGCTGCAGGTCACACACATCTGGAACTTAAACGTTGTTCTAATGTAACACTAATTCATGGGGTGTGGAATTTGTGAATATTTAATGTCTGTAGAGCTTTCAGAAGTAAAAAGCACCAGTGCATCAACACAGCTCTGAGATCATTCACGTACATTCAGAGAAGATGATCTGTCAGTGACGGACTCCCTGTGAGTACTTAGGAATAACTTTCTTTCCAAGATACCTGAACTGAATAGAGCATCCATGGCAAAGTAGAACATCTAAGTAATAGATGGGGCTCAGCAAACAGAACCTGAGTTACCACTGGACCTATTAATATGTTTCATAATCTCCTAGAGAAAGACACAGTCTCAACTTTTCTTTCTGTTAGAATTCATGGCAGCTTGGCTCCTCTCCATTTGTTCTGAGTCTTAGACTTTGTCAGGACAACTGTGAGGGAGGGGACCATACAACCTTGTGACCAACACTCAGACCATGATAGTGACTATAGTTTGGTGTGGAATGCAGTTCTTCTCTCATGGTAAGATGAGTGAGCAGCTATTTATAGTACAAGCCTGCTACTGTTTGCTTGAAACAAAATCTCCCAGTGTCGAGCATAATAAAGTTTATTTTCTTTTCTTAATATTAATGATCTTGAAGGGAGAATTTTTAAAAATCCTTTGACAATTGCACACATGCATATGATGTATTTTCATTTCACCCTTTGTGGACCCCTCCCATCTCCTCCTCCTCCTCCTCCTCCTCAACCAATCCCACTCCTGCTTTCATATTGCTTAGTTTTTTAGTGACTCGCTGAAGTTAGTCAGCATTGCTTGCAGGAGCATGGGCAGCTTAGCAGTGGTTACCCCACTGAAGAAATGGCTGCTCTTCCGCCAGCAGCCCGTAAGTGCCAACAGCTCTGGAAGGACAGGCTCTCGTGAGACCCTCCCCCACCTGTGATGGAATGTTGATGGGGCCCCTTCCTGTACAGGTGACCACAGCGAGTGTGAGTTCCTGAGCACGGTGGCCCTGTCATGAAGACAGCAGTTCATGGCACTCTGCCCCATCCTGGGGAGGATTATTTAATTGGCAACGGTTCTAGGTAGTCAGCAGACTTAACTGCCACTCAGTGCCGACTGTGCTACATTCATTCAATGGTTTTGACAAGCACCGGTCCTCTGGCTTAAGCTGCCGCAGGTGTCAGCTGAGACAGAAGCAGCCGTGACACTGAAATCTTGTGTCGTCTTTTCTGCCTCCACACATCAGTAGTTAACTCACCAAATCATGGAAGGGCTCCGATTGGAGTAATTTCTAGATTGCCTCAGCCAGAGGCAGAAGACATTCCAATATGATTTTGTTGTAATGTAGTCATTGTCCTCGTTAACTTGGATGACAGCCTAGAGTCGCCTAAGGAGGAAACCTCGGTTGAAGAGTTGCTTACCCCGTGTTGGCCTGTGGATGTATCTATGAGGGACACTTACTGTTAGTTGGTGTAGGGAGTCCAGTCCGATGCGGGCTGCTGCACCAACCCTGGGTGGTGGATCCGGGATAGATATGAGCTAAGTGTAAGCCAGGAGACAAGCCGGAGGGTGAGCTAGCCAGCATCCTTCCTCTGGCCTCTGCTTCAAGCTCCGGCCTTGAGTTCCTGCCCTGACGTCCCTCAGTGATGGACTGTGACCTGGGAGGATAAGTCAGATAAACCCTTGCCTTCCCTAAAAATTCCTTGACACAATGTTTTGTCACAGCAACAGAATGAAACTAGGATACTCATTCAAGTTACTAATAAAATTCCCTTTATCATAAGAGTTCCTGGCTAAATTTTGCAAAAGATTTTTTATATATATATATATATTACACACATATATGTATATATTTCTAAATAGCCTGCTTAAATGGTCTATATGTCTTGGAAAACAAAATTGATGTACCTTCGTTGGACATGGTCGATTGATCTTAATATTGATCTTAATATTTTCTTCTTGATTCCCAGTTGGTAATCAGTGGATAAATTACATATCACTTTGTGGCCTGAGAACACATGCAGAGCTGGAAGGGAACCTAGTCACTGAGCTCATCTATGTCCACAGCAAGTTGCTAATTGCTGATGACAACACAGTTGTTATCGGTAAGTATGAGGTCTGTGCCCACGCTTCTTTGCCTCAATTGTCCTTGCTTTTCTGTGCTTCTGTGGCATCTGAGATTTGTCATAGAACACCTCCACTGTTTCAGCGACATCCTCCCTAACCTGTCTTGTTGTTGTTGTTTTGTTTTTTAACCTATCCAGAATTAGAGATCCAGAGCAACGAAAGGGACTTCGTGCAGTCACAGTATTTGGAAGCAGGGCCTTAAACCTCACATCTGTTCACCTGCTGATCTCACTGATTCTTTAAAAATGTTTACTTTTGTTTATTTGACTGGTTGACTGATTTTGTGCATGTTCTGCATTTGTGTGTGGAAGTCAGAGGCCAGCTTGAGTGAGTTTCCACCAAGAGGGTCCTGGAGACTGAACTCCAGTCTTCAGGCTTGGCAGCAAGTGTCTTTATCTGCTGAGCCATGCCACTAGCCCCCATTTGATTAATTCTTTAGTATTCCCTTATTTTTATTTGAGTCCAAATGCCTAGAGTTCTGGGATTGGGAGGAGAGGAAATCAGCAAGGGAACATTTCAAACAAGAGAAGCTTGTGTGTGGTCTGTGCTGATCCCACATCATCTGACCTTCCCTACAGATCTAGGGTCAGGTCACAGTCAAGGCCAGAAGGATGCTAAAGTCTTGCTGTCAGTGTGCTTACCAGTATTTTTCCTATGCTTATGTTTTGGATACTCTCAATCAAGGTGTGGAACTGTCAGCTTTGCTGATCCGGGTGGAAGTGGAGAGAGAATTGTGTTTTAGTGAAATGACATCGTCCTGTTTTCCGATCAATGTCCCTCTTCAACTAACGGCACGAGTGCTCTCCCCTCACTGATTCAGGAGAGAGGCGTGCATATTCTGGATTGGACCTTCTGGGCCAGAAGGGTGGATATTCAGTCTCCTTCTGGTTTTATAAACATTGAACATCCTGCGTCAACATCACTGAATTGTTTCCCATTTAATATTGTTAATGAATAAACACTGGAAAGATGAATGAGATGCAGAACATTAATAACTTGTCATAGTCAGGGTTTCTATTGCTGTGATGAAACACCATGACCAAAAGCAACTTGGGGAGGAAAGGGCTGGTTTGGTTTACACTTCCACATTGTAGCTCATGGCTGAAGGAAGCCAGGACAGGAACTCAAACAGGGCAGGAACCTGGAGGCAGGAGCTGATGCAGAGGTCATGGAGTGGTGCTGCTTGCTCAGCCTGCTTTCTTATAGAACCCAGGAATACCTGTCCAGAGATGGCACCACCCTCAGTGGGCTGGGCCTTCCCATCAATCACCAATTAAGAAAATGCCCTACAAGCAGATCTTATGGAGGCATTTTAACAACTGAGGTCTCCTCCTTTCAGATGGCCCTAGCTTGTGTCAGGTTGGCATAAAACTAGCCAGCACATGATCATTCTGAAAAGTGAGTGGTGTGTGTGTGTGTGTGTGTGCGTGTGTGTGTGTGTGTGTGTGTGTGTGTGTGTGTGTGTGTGTGTGTGTGAGAGAGAGAGAGAGAGAGAGAGAGAGAGAGAGAGAGAGAGAGAGACTTGTGTTACCAGTAGAGATGGTGCACGGCACTGCTGGGAATCCTGCTCATCTGTTTTATGTAGCTAAAGTGATCCTTGTTCCTGCCTGGCTCACATGGCCCTGCAGCCACTTGGACCCAAGTAAACACACAGAGGCTTATATTAATTAAACTGCTCGGCCATTAGCTCAGGCCTACCACTGACTAGCTTTTACACTTAAACTAACCCATAATTCTTATTTATGTTTAACCACGTGCCTTGGTACCTTTTCCCAGTTCTGCCTTCACATCTTGCTTCTCATGGTGGCAGTGGCTGGCAGCGTCTCCTGACTCAGCCTTCCACTTCCCAGCATTCTCCTCTCTGCTTATCCTGCCTATACTACACTTCCTGCCTGGCTACTGGCCAATTATCATTTTATTTATCAATCAATCAGAGCAACACTTTCACAGCATACAGAAAGACATGCCCAGCAGTTTTAAATAAAACATAGCTTCTTAGCTGTATTAAGGTAACTCCCTGGTCTTTAAGAAGCTAAATGTCATGGAGTATTTTGACACTTTTTGGCAGTTATATGTCCTTTTTGTCTCTATTCTCCACTGAGAAAGGAAAAAAAAATCTCATAACTAGCAGTAATGAGATGTCTTATCTAGAATATAGTTTGGAAAAATGTATTTCTGAAGCAAGGGTATGTATCTCAGTGTGTATATAGGTGCATACATGTATTTAAATATCTGTAAACATAGCTTGAATATCTGTATACATATACACACATAGGGAGAAAGACTAGAGAAATGGATTATTTTGATATTTGTGCAGAACTGTTTTCTAAAAAAGCGTTGTATTCCAACATCCTTTACCCAATAGCAATGGTTCTCAACCTGTGGATTGTACCCCCGAATTTGAATGACCCTTCCACTGGTGTTACCTAAGAGCATCAGAAAACACAAATATTTATATTATGATTTGTAACAGTAGCAAAATTACAATTGTGAAGTAGCAACAAAAATAATTTTATGGTCGGGGGTCTCTACAACGTGAGGAGCTAAAAGGTCATAGCACTAGGAAGATTGAGAACCACTGTTCTATAGTGACTTATTATACTGAACAAAACATGACTCCAGATAGATCAAAGACCTCAACATAAAACCAGGTAAATGGATGGAACTAAGAAAAAAACAATCATCCCGAGTGAGGTAGCCCAGATCCAAAAAGACAAATATGGTGTGTATCTAATTATATGTGAATATTAGCTGTTAATCTTCAATAGGCAGGCTACAATCCCTATAACCATGGGAATTAGGGATAGAGTAAGAGGCTAGCAGGTAGGGATGGATCTCCCTAGGAAGGGGGCATAAAATAGATAAGTATGATGGACAAGGTGGAGGACTAGAACGGGAGGATCAAATGAGGAGGAGGAGGAGGGAAGAGGCGGATGACGGAGGGAATGCAGGGAGGAGCATCTAAACAAGGCTGTCTAAGGGGTGTATGGAGACCTAATACTGCAGAAGCGTCCCCAAATGTATACAAATGCGGAGGTGATCTCATCAAAATTGCCAAATAACGGGGAAAACGGAGCCCTGGCTGGTGTCTCTCATCACCAAAGGAAGCCTCCAGTACTGTGTTCCTCAAAAGGCACCCAGACCCTATAACCACTCTATGTAACCCACATCCCTCCTTCCTCTTCCTCTTTTTTATGTAGAAATGAGGTATGCCCCAATCCTGCAACTCATTTTCTGAGTTTGATTTTCAGAACACAGAAATATTTAACAGCAAGACTGGAGGTAACATTTATACTTATCAGTATTTCCCTGTTAGTATTATGTATTAAGTTCATCTAAGATCTGGAGCCTAGCTAGGCAACCTGCCCCAGGATTGGCTGTCTCTGCCTACCTTACACTGGGGTTGCAGGTGGATCTCGGTGCCTGCCCAGCATTTACATGGGTTCTGGGGATGTGATCGCTAGTCCTCATTTTATCAAACCTGAGGGTCACAGCCTGTGCCCCAAGCCACACTCCTTAACAAGTCAATTAAAAGAGCCAGTTTAATAATGGAAAACAGGGGAGAGAGAGAGAGAGAGAGAGAGAGAGAGAGAGAGAGAGAGAGAGAGAGAGAGAGAGAGAGAGATATTTATTCAATGTGGCCATCTTAGCGGGAAAAGAGACCCAGCGAAGCCCCCAAGTCCATCCTCAGGGTTCTGCAGTAAGACTGAGGTTTAAATAGAGAGCCAAGGTTATGAACATCTAGGCACTGCCCATCAAGGTGTGGCCCTGCCCACCGCTGACTCATCCTTGTGAGCTTCAGTTTCATGTTGTAAGGTGCTCTGATAAGTTGTAACCTCTGTGGAATCTCTTGCCAGGAGACAAGTTCCTGTCTGGTGGCAACCTTCTTTTTCTCCCAGCATGGGATTTCGGGGGAATTCCCATTTCCTCGGTACCCATTGTTTCTACAGCCCGGTAGCCATGTGGAGAGACACAGCATCTCTGGGGAAGATCTTCCTGCTAGGCCTGTTAGGCTGGCTTATGCAGACAGCACTTACTTCTGTCTCCAACATATCACAACGCCAGGAATGTACTCCTGCCCGCAGGAGTCAGGGGGGGCTGCCCTGGGAGGGGTTTGGGGTTAGTGGATAAATATGTGGGGGCTCCAGGCTGGCTCCCACATCACAGGGTTCTGATCTTGGCTAGAGAAGCACCACCCAGTCCTGCAGACACAGTCTTGGAGTGGCCTCTGCTTAGGGCAGAAGAGAGCCAAGTCCCCAAAAAGCACCACGGGAATTCTGTTCATACACCTAGGGAGGAATGCTTGGGCTAGAGAGGGGGATGCAAACGCTACATTCCAGTAAATTCTCCCCACCTGCAGCCCTGGTCACACCAACACGGCTGCCTAAATAAGACCAGAACCAGCACAACACCTAACATGGGAGGGGGAAGTCTCACACCTAAACAAAGAACCGCAGGCATCTAAGGGATGTTGAGGGTGGGAGAAATGGTCCTCTCACAGGATGAACCCCATCACTGGTTATCCAGTACCAAATGGTCAGTCCCGGAATCATATACATTCAAGTAACACTAAATGGACTAAGCAGGTGTGTTCATGCATTTATACATCCAACTGTATCATTATTGTTATAGGTATATGCATATATAACAACTGAAAAGAGACCATAAATTTGAGAAAAGACAATGGGAGGGCCATTGGAAGGGCTGGAAGGAGAAAAGGGAAGAGGGGAAATCATGTACTTATATTTTAATTAAAAAAAGCCGCCAAACCTCATGGTGTAATACTAAAGCTACTTAGTGCATATGTATGCTTTACCATGATCCACTACAGAATTTCTTCTATTGTGAGGAATCAGGTAATAAAAGGAAGTCCAGACTACACATCACAAAATAAACAAATGAAAGCTTAGTCCTTCCTAACTGAAAGTCAACATCCTTGGTGAATTGAGGTTTTCTCTCTAGACCAGGCTGGCCTGGAACTCACAGAGCTCTGCCTGCCTCCTGAGTGCTGGGATTAAAGGCATGCACCGCTACCTCCCTGAATTGAGGTTTCAAAACAGAGGGAAATTGACACCAAAGCTGCTGCCTGCCACACAGCAGAGGTGGAGAGTCTCGGCCATCAATGGCAGACTGTATTTCAGATTAGCCAGTGACTGTGAAAGCATTCCTGCCATTTAACATTCCTTGTTGTGTAAAAGCTGAAGACCAGAAAGCTTGTTCTTGTGTTTTGGTTTTTGTTTTTAAACAAAAACAAAACCCTAACAATTTCTAGAATAACTCCTTCATGATTCAGTTAACCAGCGTCCTTTGCGATGCAGGTAGAAAACTATGTGACACAGTCAGGAGACCGTATCGTTTCATAAACAGTAGAAGAAAGCTCTAGCGTTAACTAGAGTCTTCCGGATTTTGCTGTAGCAGGCTTCCTCGGACTGCCAGCCCCCATATTATGACAAGGGGACTTGATATTAGTTATGAATGTTCAGCCTTATCATACGCTTGTCCCACTAGCTCTTATAACATAATTTAACCTGTTTCTCTCGGTCTTCATTTTGCCTCAGGGCTTTTTACCTTTCTTTCATTCTGTATGTCCTTGTCTGGCTGTCTGACTGGCTGGCCCTGAGCATCTCCCTCAATTTCTCCCTCATTCTCTCCTTTCTTCTCTCTTCTCTCCTCTCTTACTTATTCTCTCTGCCCGCCAGCACCGCCTATCCATCTCCTGCCCAGCTATTGGCCATTCAGGTTTTTAGTAGAGCAATCAGGTGCCTTAGGCAGGCAAGGTGAAACAGCAACACATCTTTACAGAATTAAACAAATGCAACATAAACAAATGTAACACACTTTTTCCTAGTTAAACAAATGCAACACACATTTACATAGTTAAACATTCTGCAACATAAACAAATATAGCATATCTTGATATAGTCAAAGTAATATTCCATGACATTCTGCAGGTTTTTTACAATTATTTTCACTTATGTGTATTGTGTATATCTCTGTATGTGCACACATGTGAACAGATGTCCATGGAGGCCAGAAGAAGGCATCAGGTCTTCTGGATGTAGAGCTACAGGATGTTGTGAGCCACTTGACATGGGTGCTGGGAGTGGACTTGGGTCCTCTGGAAGAGCAGGAAGCGCTCATCACTGCTGAGCTGTCTCTCAGCCTCTGAGCATGCTTTCTGCCCTTCGGCCTTGACTTGTTGGGTTAGCCCCTCATGGTAGAAAGATGGCTGTAGAGGGAATCTTCTGGAGCCAATATCCAAGGGATGGGAGAGATGATATAAAGTTCTGCTTTCTCAGACGCTCTTGGAAACTTTCCCTCATGTTGTGTGGTCCAGAACCATGCCAGGTGCCATCTGCTAAGCTAATCCCTGACAAAGATGGTGACATTGTGATTCTAAGCTGCTTTAGAATGATCAAGGGCCACACTTGGGCTAATCCTGAGGAGGCCCCTACCTCCCTAAACTACACCTTCCCTAGATAACTTGGACAAAACTGGGGAGTCGTGAGCCAGAAGCATGGAGTAGGGTCGGCCGTCGTCGGCTGTGGCTGTCACGAGAACTTGTTCTTTTCTGTTGTTCCTCCCGTTAGGTTCTGCCAACATCAATGACCGGAGCATGCTGGGAAAGCGAGACAGTGAAATGGCCGTCATAGTGCAGGACACAGAGACGGTCCCCTCAGTGATGGATGGAAAAGAGTACCAAGCCGGCCGCTTCGCCCAAGGACTCCGGCTGCAATGCTTCAGGTGACCCTACAGAGCCAGGCCTGTTCCTAGTTCACAGCGCAGTGCTGGGGCTCGGGTGACCTCTCCCCCTTGGCACTCCTGCCGTGCCAGATTCTTTTTAAATCTAGAACAATGTCTCTCAGAGTGCAGGATATACATACGAGTATAGAAAATGACTCTAAATATACATACATTGTTTTAATAGCCTGCCATCTTTATGAATAATAGCACAAACTACCATTTTAAATGTAATCAATTTAAGGTCAGTCCAGATCAAACCCTCTAGGTAGGATTTGTTTAAGTTTTTAAAGTAACTTCACTTTTAAAATCTAAATAAACAGGTACTTCCACAGGTAAAGGCACTCCCCACCTATCCTGATGACCTGAGTTCAATCCCCTCAGCTCACAAGGTGGAAGGAGAGAACCTTTAAGTTGTCACTCACACATGGGGACCACGTGGTAAAGGAAAGGACCAAATTCCACAAGTTGTCCGCTGACCTCTGCATGCACTGTGACATGAGCATCTTCAGGCACACAAAATAAATTGTGAGGATATGATAAGTATTGCTAAAAGTATTTTAGTGGCTGCTAGGATTAGATTTAAGTGTGAACACTACATTTCCCAAGTTTAAAAGGACTCTAGATATGAGAGATCCTGGTTCTCTACAAGACAGACAGGATACTGAGGGCTGTGAAATAAGGACTGTGTGACCCTGGGGGATTAAGTGGGTTGTTTTCTCTGGCTAGGGTTAACTGCCCCCAGCCCCTTTAGTCTATTATCAACAGTGGTCCTTCTAAACCTTCTAGATCATATCATTCCTTTGTTCACTGCCATCTAGCTCCTTACCTCAGAACTAAGCAAGGACCAGGTAAAACCTTTCCAGGTGTATGAATCTGTATGGTCTGTCAACACCTTGACCTCTCTCCCAGCTGTAGACCTGGTCAGGAGATCCTGAGGATTCTAGAACTGCCCTTGCTGTGACATCACTTCATTTGTGACCTATAGGGGTATCTGTGACCACCAGGGCTGGCAGAGTGCCAATCTGAGTAAGGCAAGAAGGTTCAACATGACTTAGCCAGTATTGGTTCAAACTACCCTGACCCTGAGTAGTTTATTATAGGAATATTTACAGTACATAAGTACATTGCACATAAGTACAGTGCAAGTTTGAAAAACATTTCCTGTTGTAACTCAATCCCTGGTGCACAAGGAGGCATAATTACATCAAAGAAACTCTGATTCTCAAAGTGTGTCACTTCTTCCATCAGGGTGAGTTCTAGAGATAGGCCACATGTGTTATCTGAAGAGCTAGAGAAGGATCTGATGTGGTCTCAGTCACATAGATAGTGTAGAGGTCATCTGGGCTATTAACCACATCTTGCCCTGTTTGTGGGAGCTCGGGGGAGCCCCTGGACATACAGATAATGCAAACATCACCTAGACTATAAGCCACCTCCAGTCCTGCCTGTGGGATCTTGGTGTGGCCTGTTGCTACAGAGATCATAAGTCACCAGGTTATTAATCAGCCCCGTCCCCAGCCTTCTGGTTGGAAAGACAAGTTATACATCTCTGCCATCAAAAAGACAATCCTGCATTTGGACATTCCCTTTTCCTTAGTGCCTGTCTGTGAGAGCAAGGACCTTCGAGCTCCCAATAGTGGCTCCACAGTGTGACACACTGGTGCCCCGATGTAGCCAAGGGTTGTGTTTTGTGCTGCTTGGGGAAGGGATGCCTGTGACACCATTGTTAATGTGTCATTGGCAATGACACCATTGCCTCCATGTGATAATGGTCCATTTGGCAACTGGCTCACACACAGAGAGACTCCTTGCCAATACAACAGCCGTCTTGATGGTCATCTTGCTTCTTCCTACAGTTCTGGCAGACATGCTCCCCAGATTTAGCTTCATTCCAGACAGACCCATTCTTTGCTCTCAGCTCAAAGGACTCAGCAGAGCCATGCCTCAAAATACATCAGTACCTTTCAACCGCTGTCATTGCTTATTTGTCTCCTTTTTTTTGTTTTTATTTTGTTTTGTTTTATTTTATTTTGTCTCCTTTATTACTATTTGTTTGGCCCAGTGAGAATTCTTTCAAACCATTGGTATTACAAAAAAGTGCTGCTGGTTTGTTTTGTTTAGCAGGGAAGACTTTAGAGTCAGTGCCCTGCTAACCAACCCACTGGCTTCCTATTACAGCATATGCAAGGAAATAATTATTTCACTTTTTAAGCTGGAAATGTCATGTCCTTTCCATTGTGGGTGAACCTAAGTATTCTCTTTGGAGTGGCAGGCTTCTTTATACATCTTTAGGCATATACTAATATAGAGGGACAGGAGTCTGCTTTACAACCAATTTTCTCTTGTAGAAATTTGTCAAATATAAAATACCAACAAGAAGGTAAATTCATTTGTAATTCCACCATTAACTTTGATTACATAAATTGCAAAGGTTTATGAAGTGCTATGTGATGTTTTTGTATATGTGTTCACTGAGTAATATCTAGATTAGTGTGAGAATAACTTAAAATGTTTTTGATACATGTATGGAATGTGCCGTGGTACATATGTGGAGATCAGAGAATAACTTTGGGGAGTTAGTTCTCTCCGTGCACCTTGCTGAGGCAGAGGTCTATTGTTTCTGCCTTGGTGAGTAATCCAGACTAGCTGGCCTGTGAGCTCCTGGGAGACTCTCCTCTTCCCACTCCCATGTCACTGTAGGAGTGCTGGGATTAAAGGTGTGCACCACTGCATCTTGCTTTTTAAATGGGTTTCAGAAATCAAATTCAGTCAGCAGGCTTGTATGGCAAGTGTTTTTTCTGATGAACATCTCTCCAGCCTGAGCACATATATCTGCTCAAGCCTCTGACCTTTCTTTGTGACAAGAACATTCAAATCCTTTCTTCTAACTTCTGGGAAGCTAGTCCACCACCATCCAAAGTCTCCCATGAAGCACACCAGAACATCTTACTCCTGTCTACAACGGCTTAGTTCCCTTTGACCAACCTGGTTTCATGACCCCTTCCTTGATGCCCCAGCACTGGCGACCATCATTCTGTTCTCAAACATCTGTGAGGTCTTTTCCATATTCCATCTACGAGGTCAAAGCATCCCTGTCTCTCAACGCCTGGCTCATTCCTCGATGATCACTGGTTCCATCCGTGTTGTCATAAATGACAGGATTTCACTCTTCTGTGTGATTCAAGAGCATCCATTTGTATGGACAAGCCACATTTCCCTTATTTACCTATCAGCTGATGGACACTTAGTTTGTCTCTGATTTTTGGCTCTTCTGCGTAACGTCATAACGAACATGGGAGTGCAGTTGTCTCTGGCATACTGAACTAACTTCTCTGGATATAACACAATAACATGGGTGGGATAATACAGTTCTACCTTTAATTATTTGTTGGAACCCTGGATGGGTTCTCATCCCTAGCAATACAATAAGGGTTTCCTCTCCACAGCTCACAGTATGTTGACAATTTTAACATTTGCCATCTAGCAGTCTACTTTTTGTTCACTCCTGTATTTATATATATTCATCTATTTTTAAAAAACAAAATTTGAATTTTGCAGGTCCGGAATATTCTTGATTTTTAAGATTTATTTCTTATTTGTGTGCACACATGAATGTGAAGGTCAGAGGACAACCTGTAGGAGTCAGTTCTCTCCTTTCACATTGAGGGTCCTGAAAATCAAACTCAGGAGGTCTTCAGACTTGGAGGCATCAACTTTGCCTGCTGAGTTATCAGGCCAGCCCCTGAATAGTCTCTTTTTTCCTTTTTCTTTTTCTTTTTCCTTTCCTTTCCTTTCTTTCCCCCTTTCCTTTCCTCTTTCTTTTCCCCTTCCCTTTCCTCTTCCCTTCCCTTCCCTTCCCTCCCCTCCCTCCCCTCCCTCCCCTCCCTCTCTCTCATTTGTTTATTGTTTGGTTTTATGAGACAGGGTTTTTCTGTGTAACAGCCCTAGCTGTCCTGAACTCATGTTGTAGGCTGGCCTCGAATTCACAGAGATTGCCTGCCTCTGCCTCCCAAGTGCTGGGATTCGGCCCCTGAGTATTCTTTATTATTTAAGAGCCACACATGCTTTTCTATGTCAGTGTTATCCTGTAGCATTTTAATGATTGCATCATGCTTCATGTGTGTATGCCATAATTCCTTAAAAACATACTTCTATGTTTGACTCAACTTTTTGCTAATATGAAAAAAAGGTAAATATTTTTGTTTGTTTGCTTGTTTTTTTATGTGAGCAAAAGAAGGGACAATTTTTCTCAGACAAAGGAAGCTGCATTTTCCCCAAATTCCTTCTTAGGTCAATTACACTGTGTTTATTAATCAAGAATACTTGCTCTTTTGTGAATTTGTCTGGCCTTTTCATGTTCTTTGCCCATTTTTCTGGACTGTTTAACTTTCTTTTAATGACTACTTATTTTGTTGAATATGGTTGAGCAATTTCTTCTTACTCCTATTTAAGGTGAAATTATTAACCAAATTTCTTGATTTTTTCCTTTACTTATTTGTCAAGAATATGTTCCCTGGCCTAAGATCAACGGTTACTTTTGGATTTTGGTTTTTGCTTTTTTCCTAGTATTTGTTTCCGTTTTGTATTTCGCAATCAACATGTGTGGCTTCTTTTCTATTTTTCTTACAGGGTCTTATTATATGGCCGAAGCCAACTTTGAACTCAAAACCTTCTTGTTGGTGGTTGTTTTTGTTCTTTTGGGAGTCTGCCACCCAGCTCCCAAATAAATCACACATGGGGTCTTATTCTTACTTAGGAATGCCCAGCTTTAGCTTGGCTTGTTTCTAACCAGCTTTTCTTAACTTAAATTAACCCGTCTGCCTTTTGCCTCTGGGTTCTTTCCTTTTCTTACTTCTGTAATCTAACTTTCACTCTTACTCTATGGCTGGCTGTGTGGCTGTGTGGCTGTGTGGCTGTGTGGCTGTGTGGCTGGTCCCTAGTGTCCTCCTCTCCTTGTTCTCTTGATCTTTCTCCTCTCTTCCCAGATGTCTCCTTCTATT